CATGTTACGATGGAGTAACTCTTCCAAAGAGTAACATCATACCTAATACACCGTACAGATCTTAGTCTAGTCGCTTTCTAGCACCTAACCCGAATTCTCTATTTACTCGCCTTCTAGGTGCCAAATGAGATCTCGCATATGGCTAATCATAACAGGCACAACATGGAAAATTGGTACTAACATTCATGTTTGGTCTTTAACATGACCTCATCTTGGTTGTAACTAAGGCGACACACATAGTGGATAATTTAAGCCTCTCTTGGCTCCAAATAAAATAAACCACTAGTCCCATCCTTGCTCGCTCCTAAGCACCAAGGGTGATTGCTTATGTGAATGAGCCAATCTTTCCTACTAATATCATCATTTGTTAATCATTATGACATAAACCATAATAGCATCAATATCCCATAATCCCCACCCCCCAAAAAAAAGTGATCGATTGAAAAAACACAATCATAGTCTGTACAATTTTAGATTCCAAACATAAGCCCTATTAGCACCTCTTGCGATAAGCATATACAACAGAATCCACTATGTGCATTTCACATGAAGTGGTTCAAGATCACTACCTCTTGCACAATTACCTCTCTAAATATATTTTTGTGACCAATTTGCGTTCATTCATGATGCGCCCAACAAGCGCATTGAATTTTACAAAGGGCAAATTTATACACTACCAGTAAAGCATCCTATCCACAGTCTAATAAGCAAGGTCAAGGTCTAAATTACTCAGTTGACCATTTACAAAAGATAGAACTTATCATGTTGAATATGTCCAAATAGCGTACTTCAAGATCTCACTACAAAAGATCAAGGAATATAGGTCATCTGTTTCTCCCAAAGATAATCTGAGAATTCACTCAATAGCTAAGGCTCTAGCTTTTACCGATGGGTAAGTCAATAGGTTTGCAATTTCGCATCTAGAATTATTCTAGGATGTTCCTTATGTAAGTCATCAAAAAGAAACCGAGAATTCTCCTAGAACAATCTCTAAGCATCAAACATCTGAGCATATAAATTACATCACCCATGTCCATTATGTCTAAAACAAAGGACTGCCAACCCTAGGTGGTGACAACTTTATAAATTCTTGGCTCATAATGACTAAGCAAAGAAAAACTTCTTTTGGACCATTGATCATGCCTCAGTGGTCTTCATCGATCACCATTGGCCTATCATGGCTCGACGAAATCTAAGAACCACTATTTAGATAAATGTTTTAGGCTGTAAAAGATTTATTGGAACTAACAATCTTTTTGCGCTCTTAACTTTTCACCATAAAAGCAGAAGGTAAATCCCTACGGATCTACTTAGGGAAGTTGGGTCACAACGTCCACAAATCAAAGTTCCGAACTTATGTCAATCATAGCCTAAGTCGAAGTAACCTCACTCCCTAGGAGGAAGTTTTCTCATGGTCTACACCTTTCTCAATGGTGTGACTTTTCGGTATCTAGCGAGCCTTATGTCTCAAAAATGACTATCCAAATCTCACATAACTTTAGAATAGTTTTGCGTCGTAGCGAAAAGTCAACCAAATCCTAGAAATGGTTAATCCTCCAAAACTTTGTCTTAAAATGCGCAACTTTGATCCACTTTCCAAAAAATAGGGGACTAGAGAGCCTTTGGCATTATCGTAGGCTCTTTATCATCTTGCAGAGCAATCATGAATGATTCCCTCTTAATCACTGAGTGATGACGTGAAAGTTTTTTACATTCGCTACCACGCAACTAAGAATGTAGAGTATTCTTCTCTAATGGTGTAATCCACAAGTAGGCACATTGCTCCCGCTGTCCTTAGGATATTGAAAATTTCTTTCCATTCTCAACTAGGCTACATAAAGCGCCATACATAGCATTCTTTATCTAATAGAGTTCTAAAACTCTATTCACGTCACCTTTACTAAGAAAACTTTATGTGATTTAGTTACACTCCCACAAAGCTGCTCACCTATAAGCACATGACCCGGACGGTTTACATGACAACATACAATAATGGGCCACATGACCTTAAGCGTTTACAAGACAACATATAATAATGCGTCATAAAACTCTAGGTCTTAACTTCGTAACTTTATGAGAAGTAAAATAAAGATAAGCTCTTGATGGTTACAAATTGCCCACAAATGGCTTTTCACTAATCCATTACTCAAATAGAGTGTAAAATCTGATATGGAGAGCACTTAGTTAGGGACATAGGCAACAAACTAAAGTGCAATTCCCAATTGGAAAACATATTGCGCCATCATCCACCTAACATAAACAATACTTAATTCCTTATCTCTACTACACCATTGTGTCACTGAATGCTAGGAATAATCAATTTTTTAAGCATCTCTTTCTCTTCTCAGAGTTTTCTAAAAAATAACTCAAATAGATACTCGCCACCTCGATCAAAACTAAAAGCACCAAAGCTCTTATCTAATTGATCTTGACCTCATATGTGCAATATCAAAAATCATATCAAAACTTTTGACTTATGGGAGATCAAATAGTCTTCACTAAGATGCGTATCGTAATCTATAAATGTGTCGAGATTGGGGCTAGCTATCATACCATTACACATATCTAGTCACAAATATCATAGTGGACTAAATGCGCTAATACAGGTGCCCTTCTGCGACTTTCTTACTTACTTGTTGGCAATCATTACAAACAAAGTTACACATTCACATGAGAGCAAGATGCCACAAGCAAATGGGCCCAAGAGGGCCTACTCAAACTATCTATGTCATCTTCTCATTAATGTGATTAAGTATAACAAGCCACCAGTTTAAGACCAATGTCATAAACTAATTACAATCACCCTAATGGCCGAGTTCTCGAAGACAAGTGCAAAGGTTTAGGCCCAACTAGGTAATTACTCATAACTAACTAATGTTCACTAGATCATAAAAGGATGTCATAGAGATATCAAGTGCACCTAACTCACAAATTTAACTAGTAAGTGCTTATCCCATGCACCTTCAAGTCAATTTTATTCTCCATACACTTTACTACGTCTAGTTGAAACATAACGATACTCCTCTTGCCATCTCTGTTTCTCGCTTCATAGTTAGTTGCAATTAATTCTACTATCTATCAGAAGGAGAGAATAAGCTATCAATCTATGAGAGCTCCTAAAGCAACTTAGTTGTAATTAATTCTACTATCTACAAGAAGGGGAGAATAAGCTATCAATCTATGATAGTTATTGAAGCAACTTAAGCGCGAATTAGGCTAAAGAGTCTAATTCAACACAATGCTCTTACAAGTGATGCGCCAAATTCTTAGAGTCATAACAACTTTGTCGGCCGTGACCTTTTCATTGCTATCCTATAACTTTAGTGCTTAGTGGTAAACGCCATTCAAAAGCGTTAGCCTAGCTAAGGAATCATACAAAAAAGCACCTCATCATGTCTCACACTCAAGTGTGGAGACAAGAAGTGTCTAGACTTAGACAAGTTGGCAGTGCTAATTGATTTTGCAACCACTAGGCGCTAATCTTCTCACTTTGTGTTAATAGATTTTGCAGCTTCTAAGCGCTAATCTCTTAACTTTAAGTGATACTTCAACGCACACTATTATAGTGCGTGAAATTTTTCTCTATCCACTCTCATCAATTGGGTAGAAAGCAAAGCACTGCTCATACTGGCTACTCGTTTTACACTCAATGACAAACTCATTTAAGCTCACATATCTTGGATGATGTAACTCTTAGATATTGCTTCATCTAATGATGCAACATTATTAAAAGTCAAATTATAAAGTCAATCCATGCAGCTCAATAGTCAAGATCACATCTAGATCTATTGAGGGCTTACAAATCCCACAACTCCAAACTCGCCGAACAAAACTGCTTAGCATGCCGCTAACCATAGCGCACACATCAATTTTTATTGCGCCAAACAAGGCAACAAAACTATGGTGACGTTGAGTCATGTTTCCTTACTTTGGCTTAATTAAGGTCTGACCTAAAGTCTCCAAGACTTTCTGCTCATCTAAAAAATAGAATTACATTGTTCACATTTGAACATCTCTACTAAGCTTAGGTCAACCAAATTAACTTCTATAAGCTAAGTCAATTTGGAGGAAAAAAATGCGTATTGAGATTAATTTGATTAGTATATCATAATATAATTTTGTCACAAAAATCTAAATTAAATAGTGACAAAATTACACAAGTCGCAAGATCGAATATTCGCTATGCTTATAATCATCTCTTGCATCGCAAGTGACAATTAAACAAAATTTAATTTAATTCATGCACAAAATATTAGTTTTTGAGAGTAAATATACAAAAGCATGATAAAATATTAATTCCATATAATAGCGTCTCAATGTGAATTCATAAAGGAAAACATGCCAGAATATTCAATCATGGAATTAAAGTTCACTAACATAAATAAATTATGCTATTTAAAATAACAACATACTACAAGTTCTAATCATTTAAAAGAACTTAATATGTTGTATATAATAATTAAATAATGTCGTAACATATTTCTAAAATTTCTATAATTTTCTGAAATTTTCAAGAATTACAAGTAATTAATAATTACACAGAAAATCAGAAATAAATATTACAGAATCTGAAAAAATAAAAAAATCATACCAGTAAATAAGATTACATAACAGTAGTCCACTGTAAAAATTTCAATTTCAAAATCCAAGTCATGCTCCCCCAAGAGCAATTTAACGTAAAAATATCGAATTATTTATTGATGAAAAAAAATTATTTCTCAAAAAATTATGAAACTTTAACATATTGTAAAAAAATGAATTATGAGTCCAATAGTATAAGCCATGCTCAAAATGGAATTATAACGAATATTCTACAACCAATTAACGTAGTTTTGAATTTCAGGAAATCCAAACAGAGCCCTTGCCGATGAGTAGCCACCACCAACACTCTCACGTGTAATGATGATGTCATCACGAGTTATTGACATCAGCACATGTGTCATGACCCAAACCCGCCCCTATGGGTTAAGGACATAACCGGCCAGCAATCTTGAGATTACCTACGGCCTCATATTCTTCAGACATAACTTGTCAGAGTAAAGGGGCCAAACGGAAGCAAAAATTAAAAAGATCTTAGCTGTAAGGAGGTTATGGCTAAGGTCCAAGTATGCCAATTGCATCAAATCTCCTATTTCTACAGGGATGGAACCGTTGATTCGATTTGGAGAGAGATTGAGATAGATCAGATTAGTCAATTGACCAATAGATGAAGGGATTGGACCAGTGATATTAGTATAATATATGCGAAGTTGTACTAGTTGGGTGAGGTTTCCCAGGGTAAGAGGTAGCAAACCTTCAAGATTTTTGTTGCTTGAGAGGTCGAGGTAGGTGAGCTTTGACAGAGTACCAATTTCCTCGGGGATGCTTCCAGTTAAGTCACAGAAGCTGAGATCGAGAAATTGAAGGTTTGGGAAGGAAGTCCAATCCATGTTTTCAAGCTTTCGGTGGGGGGAAGAATAAGAATAAGAAGAAGAAGAAGAAGAAGAAGAATAAACAGAATTAGGAGAAAGGACAATCCGAACGACACTTCCTGCCTGATTACAAGCGATACCTGCCAAGTGACAATGATTTGCAGAAGAAAAGTTTCCCCACCAACCGCTATTGAGTAGAGCTTTGGCCTCTAACGATGATAATGATGATGAATTCACAGTTCCTGACACTAACAAAATATTAGTAGCCGCAATGCACAGTGCTACGAGTAGAGCACGATAAAAAGAAGAAGACGATACGTTATTTTTACTCATAATTGATGTATGTATGGGACTTTGTAGCTCTAAAATAATGGGAGCAAAGCATGTATGCAATGCAATGCATACCCTGATCAGAGCTGTAGCAGGCTTTTTAAAAATACTGATGTCAGTGAAGCCAGAGAGTCTTTGTAACTATTTCAGTCTTCCTCTCTCGGCGTTATTGTGGCGAAAATTATACCAACTTTCTTTCTAGCTTCCTGAATGTCGAAATCATGATCCATGACTTGAGAGAGCCATTGAATGAATTAGGGACATATCAAACAGTCCACATTCATTTAACCTTGCTTGGCCACAGCTTTTGATTTTTCACAAAAAAGTGAGAAAATGTGCATAACGTGTAATTGATAACTCTCTCAACTTTGATTGTTAAACACACAGAAAAAATGGGTTAAAAAAAATTAAAAGGAAAAGCAAGGTTGTACACACCACATAAGACGGTAGATGTAGTACTATATAGTTTCAAAGGAAAATGTTACTGGAAAAAGTTGTTTTAAGTATGGTTCATTATAATGTTTACGAGCCATTTCTATTGTGTACCTCAATTATTAAAAAAATGCAGATATTTTTTAGCTCATAAATTATATTAATTTTTCACACTCAATGATTTGGTAATTAATTAGAATATCTAAGATAAATTTCTCTCATATATTTTTTAATCATCAACTAATCATCTCATTTACACATTATTAAATTTGAAAAATGAATTTATATATTATTTTTAAAACATCAACATTTTCTGTACATAAATTGCACTTTTCTATTCATAACAATTTTCATGACAAATTCTAAGTAAAGTTTTTCTTCAACCCCTAGGAGGGGCACACTAACCATCACATTCATGTGGACAAGTTGCATTTCAACCTCCACCCCGAAAGTCATCCCAATTATGGAATTTGCTTTCCTACCGTCTTTACTGGACGATGGAAATAATGTAAACTACAACTTCCAATTTTTATTTTAGGACTAGTTTTGTTTCGGATAAATTACACTTTTTGTCCCTTTATGTTGGGCTACTTATATACTTTAGTCCTTAAAAACTTTTTTTTTTTCTTACTTTTGAGTAAATTTGAATGAAGGACAGTGAATTTTTACTCCAAAGAGTAAATTTACTCCGTTGGCATGGAGTAAATTTTTTACTCCAAAACTTTTTACTTTTAAAAAATTTATCACTCTATATATCTTCTTTCTCTGATTTTGATTGAAGGTATTTGGACTGAATATTGATTTCATCAAGGATGCTTGACCAATTACAAGGTAAAATCTAACGGCCAAAATTCATCGACCTTTGTTCTTGGCTTTTGATTTATCACAATAAATAAATAATGTGCTTAACCTATTGTTGACGATTCTCTATAAGTAAGCAGTCTACTTATATATAATGATGAGTCATTTATATCTCAACTCTAATTCATTATCACATATATATATATATGTAATAACGTGGCTATTGTTTTACATATCATTTGATTTTTCATGGTTAGGATGATTTTTTTATAAAAAATCATTTTGTTTAGTATTTAATGTGAAAAAAGTGTCAAAAAAAGTGTTTAGTATTTTGTTTATAAAAAATCATTTTGTCAAAAAAAGTGTCACTAATCATAAATTTTAGCGACAGTTTAAAAAAATCATCATGAAAAAATGTCATTAATTTTCAACTTTCAATGACAATTTGAAAAATTCATCATAAAAAATGTTGCTAATTGTAAGTTTTAGCAATAATTCATAAAAATCGTGAAAAAAAGTTACTAAGGCCTCGTTTGGGAACATGCTTTTTTAGTAACTTTTTGACTAAAATGTGATGTAAAAAAAACTAGTATGTTTGAGATGACTTTTTGACTTTTTACGAAAAGATGTGCAAAAAATAGAGAGAAAAGGAAATTTTTGACTTTGTTGTATGAGTTGTTGGTTTTTTGATTTTTTTTGTGACTTTTTGACTTTTTGGCTAAAATAGCCACTTGCCAAACGAGGCCTAATTGTCAATTTTTAGTGACATATACAAAAAATCGTTATAATTTTTTTTGATTTTACTAAGACTTATTTTCAATAAGATTTTATGAGAATTAAATTTAACTATTAGAACCTATTACTACCACGGCAACGTTCGGTTTAATTTTTAAATTAACATTTGGATGAAAAAGTTAAAAAACATGTTTGGTTAATAAATTTTCAAAACTTTTTTCAAAATTATTTTTTCTCTTTCCTCTCCCCTTCTCTTTTTTTATTAATAAATAAATAAATTAATCATTTTTTTCCCATTGCTCTCTTCTCTCTCCTCTCTTATTCTTTCACATTTAACACATTAATCAACCAAATTTTCTCTCACACCTATCTATTTAATTAAAAAATAAAAATAAAAAAATAAAAATTATTATAAAATTATTTCAAGACTCATCATCAAACAAATTTTTAATTTTTAAAACTCTTTTCAACAACTTATTATTTAAAATATAACTTAAAACTCAAAAAAAAATTCAAAAACTAAACCAAATGAAGCCCATGTGTTTGTGATGGGATATCAGTGTAATTCACTATGGCCTCTTTTGGGAAGGCCAAAAAAAAAAAAAATCAATTTATTAACTTATTTGAATCATATCACCTCTCTACTTTTTTACATGCGTTTTTAAAAAAAGCCAATAAGCCAAAAAAAAAAAAGAAAACCCACTTCCCAAAATAAGCCTCTATTCTTATTTTTTTGAGTCATGTATCTATTAATTGGGTGTACACAACACCACCATAAACTTTTCAAAAGACCAAATAAATACTCTTTAGCGTGTTGTTACGAATTGGGCACTTGTCATTTTCTCGAAAAGTTGGCTTCACGAGTGGTACTATATACCCTGTGCTTAATTTATTTCCAAGAATCTAACCCAAGTGATGTGATAGGAATTACAAGGTGCTTGGTGTATAATTCGTATTATCAATGAGTCGGTACATGACAGTTGGCACACTAACCATCACATTTAGCCTCCGTTTGGCAAGAAAAAGCCCAGGCTTTTGTGGCTAAAATAGCCACAAAAAACAAAATAGGCTATTTTAGCCACAAAAAACAAAACATCAAATCCAACCCATAATCATTACAATCCTCTCTCACAAAAAAAGTCAAAAAAGCCAAAAAGCCAAAAAGCCCTTCCCAAACCAGGCTAAAATAGCCCAGGCTAAAATAGCCAAAAAGCCAAAAAGCCAAAAAGCCAAAAAGCCAACCCACTTCCCAAACAGAGGCCAAAAGTTATAAGCTGCATTGTTAAGCTAAACCAAACACATCAAAATAGTTTAAATTAGCTGAAAGCTGAAATAAACAACTTTTAAGCTGCACCAAACAGGCACAATGCCTGCTTTTTGGTTCTATTTCTTATCTTGTTCTGGTTCTGTTGTCTTTGAGGGTAGCATTTGTTTTGATTTGGTGCTTGTTTCCATTGTAGTTGGGATTTGCCCCTTTAGCAATGATGCTATTTGGTCTTGGCCTTCTTATGATGTATTTTGTATGTACTTCTTGTATTCTAATTTGAATCAATATATTATCTTTATTTTACCAATCAAAAAAAAAAAAAAAAAAAAACCTATTCAGTGTGTTTGGTTTGAATTTTTTGGATTAAGTTTTTTAAAATTGAGTTTTTTGATTTTCGTGTTTTTTTTTTTGTTTTTAGTGAATATTTTTAAAATTTTAAATATTTTTTTTTTACTTTTTTA